TTAAGTTTATACCAAATAAATAAGTAAATTTGATTCTCAAATAATCCAAATACTCTATAACAACTCTACAAATAAAATATATCTACAAATTTACATTTTCTTTGTTGTATATTTGCAAACTAAAATGCGTAATAATGGTATTGCAAGTAGGGAACAATAAGAAAAAATATTAACTAATAGAAATGAGAATTTATACATGACATTAATTAATATATAATTTATTATTTTTTGCTTAATTCTGGAATAGTATTAAAGAACTTTTTATTTAAAGAAGAAAAACAAATGCCGAGAGCACCTAAAATAAATGCCGAATATGTTGGCGATTTCTAATTACTTTATTTGTAATAGAGAAATCATAAACAAATTAATTTCGCTACATTTAGTGGAATAGATTAAAATTTAAAGTTAAATTTACCAATAAGACTGTACGTACATTAAAATGTTAGCAAATGCAATTAATTTGTTAACCATTTATCTATATAAATTGGTCAATATCAATAGAAAATTATATAAAAGTTTTGCTAATGGTTTATTTTTTACTGTTAAAAAGTTGATTAAAGTTTTGAATAGAACTGTTAAAAAAAAAAAAATGCATTTGACATCACAAAAGTAATATAATTTAAGGGGAGATGATGTCAGTTAACCACGATTTTCACTTATATTTTTATGAATATGAATTGAATGGCTGGGTGCAAAAGGTGATGCGCCATACAAAGAAAAATTTAAGAAATATCACCTTCTGCATCCAACCCATTCAATTGTAGACCGAGTTCAGAACATTTTTCCTTAAAAGAATGATGCCATTGGTTACAATTTAAGACAGAATGTACAGTCCGGAAGTACTCAGCAAAGGTAAATTACAAACTTCACCTGTGCATTTTCCAATTTTAAAAAAATTCTCTCGGCAAATGCACAGGTGTTGTAGACAGAATGTAGTTTTTACAATGGTTAACTGACTTGTGGATCATTAAGTAATTAAGATTAAATAATGTAACTGTTTGAAATTCAACTAACAATTGTGATGATGAAAAAAAAAAATGTAAACTCAAATAAATTATATGCTCATTGACAAAAAAAGTCACACTTAGATAGAATTACGTGTATTGTAGTTGTGGTCCAATTGCACATCAGAGTGACTTAAAATTGTTACTGCAGTATACTAAGAAAAGACTTGCAGATGCTCATTATGTTCAGAATTTTTCTTAGATCTGTTGTTTGGAGATCTCTCGAATGCCAGGCATGTCTGTATGAAAGCCAAACGATTGCCAAAAATTAGGTTATATTATTACTACTATTATTAATTAAATGCTGAGTAATTTAGCATTAGAGGCAGGTTTTAAATTTCATCTCACTGTGATGTAGTAAAAGAGATTATGCACACCTAAGAGTTTGAGAAAGGCTACATCATTGGGATGAGGAAACTATGTCTGTTTTACTGCTTTGCTCACCATTCTGATCCGATTGTGAGATGATGGTGATATATCAAGCACATGTACTGTATATGACAGTAGAGTAGACTCTGGATGACCCAGACACACCACTAGGAGACGTGATTGATTGATTATGAGATAAGCACGAATACCGCAATAGCATCTTTGTCCGTCATTCAGAGACAGGTAAAAGCCTCACTACAGAATCCTGTTATTTCCCATACTATTGGCAGGTAACTAGTACAGACAAATTTGCATGCACATTGATTGCTACATGTCCTGCTATTAGTAATCCAATGTTGTTGACTCCCAAGTGGTGTAGGGACAGAAACATGGCTGCTTTGGACTGACAGTGTACCATTATTAGTGACAAATCCTGGTTTTATTTGTGAATGTGTTACTACTGTTCTAGTGTGGAGGAGTGCTGAATTGAAGTGCCATTGAAGGTTACTTCAATGGCACTTCAATTCAGCAAACAGCACACTGCATCTACTGTTGGCATGCTGGACTGGAAAGCCATCTTATATGATAGTCAGTCACTCCTAGTATTGGTATGAGGGACATTGACAACACAGTGGTATATTAAGGAAATTCTCACTGCTGACTGTTTGCAGTCCTGCCATGAAAGGCATTTTCCAACAAGATAATGCTTGGCTACACATAATGCTAGGGTTTCTCAGAGAAGTCTCCATGATGTTGCCACACTTCTTTAACCTGCCCAGTCTCTAGATCAAGCATTTTTAGGACCAGATGGAATGCCAACTTTGGCCATCTATGAACACAATACATTAGAAATGGCAGTTGCAATATCTGTTGAGCAATTCCATTGCAAGGTAGCATAGAACTGCTGTAAATCCAGGCAGGTGGTGGTCTATTAGGTACTACAAGTTCCTGTAAATTGTACCGATACCGATTTTGTACAGGAAGCTATGACTTTGCCATGACACTAATTGCTTATTACCATTCATTATGCTCAAACTCATTACTCACTAATAATTACTAATCATTACTAATAACTCAGTTTGATTCCATTGCCTCCTTCTTAGTGCATTACTTTTCTGTCAATGAGTATATTATAAATTTCAACTATTATGTTTTTTAAATTTGTTGAACAGAGGGTAAGGCTGGAGAAAAGTTAACATTTTTAACTTGTCCAAAGGTGACTCATTTGCCATGAACAAACAAGAAGAATGCTAATGTCAGATAAGAATGATAAGAGAGTAAACAAGGGGAGATGGGTTTTGATATTAATTGGTGCTGTGATAAGACTAAAGAGAAATTAGTAAAAAGAAAGAGTTCTTTTCCCTGATATTCAAACACAAGTAACTGCCCTGAACTACGATGGATTGTTGGGCAGCCAAAACTAGAATCATTTCTCACCCTTCTACTCCCGTATAGTAAAATAATGCAAAATATTTAACGAAACCATTACGACATGTGTTAAAATCATGGCAAAGTAGGAACAATTTCTCATCTAGTGCTAGCAATCCGCTTCCACTCATTCGTGCCTAAAGACGACCCAGTCAAAAACATTAAAATTTCTCTAACGTTACCCACTATTGAAGATATATTGCTTATTTCATTTTATTTAAACTGCAATGCTAGTTCTACTTAAAAATATTTTAAGCAAAAAAATCAAGTTTTAATAAATGTAATTTGCTTATTCGAGTCCTTAAAACTTGGCACCGTATTAATGTATGTATAGTATTTTAAATCTGCTTATTCGAGAAACCAAAAATTTCAAATTATTTTGTCTTTGAAATTTTTGGTTTTCCGAATAAGCAGATTTAGTGTGTGCGGAATGAATATGCTTGCATCAATAAATTTTCAAATCGCAAAAGATATATTAAAGAAGTGTTCCGTGGCTTTATGATTTTGAATTGTCAAAAATTTTATATACAGGACGAGCCAAAATTAATGCAAGTACGGAAGGCTGCGTGCTGTTTTATGTAATTAAGTTTGCTTCATTGAAAACAACCAAATTACATACAATAAATAGCTGTTTAAATCCGGTTTTAACTGTTCTAAATGTATATCTTAGTTAATTCACTTTTTTTTTTTTTTAACAAACAACCTTGTATATATCTTTTTCGTATTCTATAAAATCCAAGATTATGTAAATGTTTTTCAATTTAAACATGTTTTTATATTACCTGATTTTATATATATATATATATATTCTTTTTCGTATTCTATAAAATCCAAGATTATGTAAATGTTTTTCAATTTAAACATGTTTTTATATTACCTGATTTTATATATATATATATAAAATTAATAATTTATACAATAAGAAAAAATATTAACTAATAGAAATGAGAATTTATACATGACATTAATTAATATATAATTTATTATTTTTTGCTTAATTCTGGAATAGTNAAAAAATATATTTCAATAAATAAAAGAATATTTATAATTAAGTTTTGATATCAAAAGTTCTGGTTATATATAACAGTTAACTATCAGATATCCAGAAATATTATGCGCTAAATTGTTATCAAATGGTTTAATTATTTCTTTATAAACTATTTTATTTATTGTAGTTACAATATATTAGAGAGGTTGCGGCCGACGTTTTCAATGCAAAAACGTGTACGTCGGACGTTCAGCGTTGCCTTCCTGTGAGCCTAGACGTTTGAAAATGGCGTTTGGAATGTCGAGCATGATTCCACTGACATTCCAAACACCATTGTCAAACTTCTGGGCTCACAGGAAGACTGCGCTGAACATCCGACGTGCACGTTTTTGCATTGAAAACGTCAGCTGGAACCTCTCTATTATTTCTATTTTCTTGTAAGGTTAGATTATAATAGAAATTCACCAACTTAATATAATACCGGCATGCTCATAAATTACTATAAATACTTTTGAAGTATATCGTTTCGTCATCGGATGTTTCAATTTAAAAATTAAATAACCTTTTTAAACCGTTACCAAGCAACGACGTCTTAGATCAGTCTATATATGTCCATTTTAGCGAATGAAATTGTATAATGGAAACTAGCCTTTATGATACTAAAATAAAAACGTTTCACTTAATTCCCTATGAGTGTTTAAATGAGCAATGGGCAGTTGAGTGACGATTTATGGTATATATGTTATGTTAAGTTCCTAATAGTAACATTAACCCTCCTATCTTGCATTATAAGAGCCTCCTGTAATGCAAGACCTTACTTATGATGATTCTCCTTCTTGTCAAAAATTTATATTTGAATACATTTTGAGGCATCAGATGATGATGATATGCTTTGAAAATAATAATGTAGCAATAAAATTGGTGAACTTCCATTACATTCCTGTTTACTACAATAATTACAAGCCATTAAACAGTGAAAAAATTAATCAATTATTACTGGTGAATAATCGTTTTGTATAAATACTTAACTTTAAGAATTCCAAAATAATTATCTGGATATTTGAGAGTAAACTATGTTAATCGCATGCAAAAAAATATACTTATATAGATTTAACACATTTAAATACTTAAAAACTACATTTAAATGAAAAATTCCATTTCTAAACCATAAAAAATGTCATGCACATTCCCCAACCATACAACCCACCCACCTCCAGGAAAGGCAGTCTGTGGCAGGAGGGGCTGGGGTACTGAAAACTGGCCCCTGTAAGGGGTGTATGTGGTTCCTGCAAAGGGTGGGGGTGCCGAAGTGGGAAAGCCTAAGAAGAGGATAAAGGAATTTGTGAGGATATAGCATCATAGTAAAAGAAATGAAGTGCATAAATAGCAGCCAAGATTTTTAAGTGCTTCTAATTTTGTAAGAAAATGATCAGTGTTAAAATTTCGGCACAATTAACAAACGGTATTTATATCGAAACAAATTATGAGACGACAATTTCGATTTATTTCTTTCTTTTCCTTATGACAGTCCAAATAGCAAAACAAAACATTTTCTTACAAAATTACTAATATTTAATATATATTTAAAAGCAAATTAATTAAGATATAGAAGATTCAGGACAGCACTATGATTAAATTCGTCATATCGAATAGGCTTCTCGACTTACGAGCTTTGTTGAGATTCATTAATACGTATTAAATTTTGAGTATTATTATAAATTAAAATTAGATACTGAAAATACATACAAAAAGATAGTGTTAAAATCTGTAATTACTTCCTTTTAACGACTGTAGAACAATAGCAAACTGCCATGCTTCAAATGCATAGAAGTTACAATTATTACAAACAATTCTAAGTTTGTTAACTACATTACAAAATTAGAATTATCAACCATTGCTATATTATTATTATTATTATTAACTTTAGTTTATAAATTGAAATGATAATTTCTTCGCAGTGATGTAAAATAAGATTTAAAAAAGCAGTTATGGATAAAGTATTATTGTTTAAAAACTTCTAAGGCAAAAATTGTATGTGATTGTATACAGCAGTGGTTTCCAAAGTGGTGCTACCACCCCCATGGGCAGTGACTAAATCTAGGGAAGCGAAAAGAAGCAAGTGGGCAGCAGGGGATGCTAAGAGGCGGGGTACAGAACAGTGACGACAGGCAAAGGTTAGGATCACTTAACAGAAAAAAGGGAAAGCTGTCAAACTGGTAAGAAGAAACATTGCATTTAACGGTTTCCAGATGTTGACGACAATGTATGGTAAGAACATTGTTCTCAACGTCTAGGTGTGAGGTTCATAGAAAAGTTTTTCTAAGAATATTTCCAAGCCTTTCTCATACAAGGAAAAATGGGATAAGGGACTTTATGGAATTAAGGGGGCAATGGCTCGAAAAAGTTTGGGAATCACTGGTATACGGTATATAATATAGTCGAGTCCACTTAACAGAGCATTGGATAAGGGAACACTCTCCCATATTACTGATTTTCACCCCTATGTTTTACATTAATGAGATTCCTGTTAACAGACTACTGGAACCATAGATGGTAGAGAATGAGTGCCATGTTGGCAGCATTTTTAGAGCAGCAACCTGTATAAAGGAGCACTGTTCTAAAGAAGATTTATAAGGATCTATCTTCAATCTTAGGATACATCACGGATCAGGGAATATACTATAGTTTAGAGAGACCTGCCACCATGTGTTGAGAAAATGTAACAAAACCTTCCATTGCCCAGTTTTCTGATACACAGACAGTCAAAGCATTTCTTACAGAATCATCATAAACATGTTTTATTGGACACACAAGAAGCACATTACATAACACAAAATATGTATGAACAATCCGTGCACATCATATCCTCTGATATTCACATCTTTTCGACTAGACCACCTACTGTATTTCTGGAAAGAAATGCTAGTAGTAAATATACTTATTTTCTAATTATTCAAAAGAACAATAAAATTTATGATATAAATGGGCATATCCAAGGACTACTATAGGGGCTTCAACACTCTACATTGACACAAATAAATTAAAAATTTATTTGTTCAAACTTCAAAATACTATTTTAAAAACCATTTGTGTGTTTTATCAGAGTGTCCACAATACAATCCACATCACGCACACGTTAATAAAAGGTCCTTATTAATTATTCAAATATTTTTAATTTTTGAGTTATCTCCTTGGGATTCTTCTGGATACACTACTATTGATGTAAGAATGGAAACCAATACCTAAGTAGAGTAAAATTATGTTGTCGAGTGTGTAAGTTACATAGTTCCTAAAACATGAAAAAGTGAAGAAAATCAAATACCATTAACAATTCCAGGGAGCACGACAGTGATCCCAAAGGTGCTCTGTTAAGCAGACTCGACTGCATGTTAATTTACGTAATTGATTTGATGTTCATTATTATATCAATTTGTTGAGTAACTTTATTATTAAACTACTAATTAATTCTATTATTTATTGTATATTAATATCAAAGTATTTAAGTGTTCAATATGCTGAAAGTTATTACCTATAAAGTTAAAACAACAATGATTTACAGTCGACCCTCCTATAACACTGATGATTATTCCGTTTTTTATATAAATTCCATGTTGTACGAGTCACTTAGATTTTACAAATACGTGTGCCAGGCTGCGAACGGCTCACGTATTTGTAAAATCTAAGTGACTCGTACAACATGGAATTCATATAAAACGGAATAATCAACAGTGTTATGGGGGGTCAACTGTATTAAGAATTTTTTTAATTATCATACATATCATATTCTTTTAAGATAGCAGAACTGCATTGTAATTTAGGTTATCTTTTTGAATTAACAAACATTCCACCAATGTTTGACTAACTTTGTCATATGAGTCTCATTTTATCATTTTTCTGTCAGGATTCGGCCATATGTGAAGTGTTAGATTCCTTTCACACGATCTGGTTTGAAACTGCGGCCATAAATTACCGTTGACTGGCGATTTCCATGATTTATTCTGATAAAACTTTGTGTAATAACTCAAATATAAATCCTCAAAAATTTAGCCATGAATCGGTAGAATTGAATTTCTCATTTGGAATTTTGAAGAAGCAAAGCAATGATGAACCTTTTTCTGGATGTGGGCTGCAAGTGAATTTCATAGGCTTCTGACTGTTTTTTTCTTATTGAGTTAGAACTTGGCAAGCTTAAAGTATACAACATACTCCATAACCAGTATACTGGGGTACTAAAATAATAAATTCTAATAGTAACTAGTAATATATAGTTAACTCTCATGTTTTTACTGGTCAAGTTTAGTTTAATATTCTTAATCACAAATATCATTTAATTAGGGTTGCATAATGAAGGAAGTAAATGGGAAAATCAAATTACATTGTCAAAGATATGGAGCTGCCTATTAGGACTATAAAAGCCACGAATTTCTACTGACCGAAGTAAAGTATTGTAAGTACAGTACATGCTACTCAATAATTCATCAAATGTTGACACAGACATACAAAAGTAATTAAGGTAGGATGATTCTAAATTTTTTTATCTTAGAAAGAAGTATGCAGGGAATATACTATACTTAACAATGTATCCAAGTGAAGTATTTGACTATTTTTCATTTATGAAATATAGATGGTACGTCTTATCTGATCCATTGCAAACCACTGCTCCAACCAAGTATGAAAATATAGAAAATATCGTATGCATTATTGCCAGGAGTAGCCACGGTCACAGTTTCGACCTGGATCGTGAAAAACCTTACTTGAATTTTATTAATAAAATATCCTGAAGCATTTGAGACTGCACAGTAAAGGGTTTATTACGTGACATGTGTTGTGTAAAGTTCGATCTGATTTCCTTTAGGCTGATAAAATGCATTATAAAAATTTTGCCCGTCAAGTTGTGTGTTTTAGAACCTGCTAATTTTGATAACGTTACTTTAAAGTCATGGCTAAATGGAATGTATGCATATACATTTGATCTTACTTAATTAGTAAAAGTTTAAATAAATCACGTCTTTTTTTATAAATATGTGAGCCGTTTGCAGCCCGGCACATATATTTGTAAAATCTAAGTGACTCGTACAACACGAAATTCACATAAAACGGAATTATCAACAGTGTTATGGGTGGGTCGATTGTATTACCAAAAAGTGTTATAAATTATAGAACTGCAATTTTGTTATTGTTCTTTGGGATGCAAGGTCTGTCAACATATCACAGTGCAGCAACAATAGAAGATATATAGTAATATGGTTCCAAAAGAAAGGAAACTAATATTATCTGTTTAATTTTCTGTCCCCTCTTTTGCATTGTTTCTTCATGGATATTTTAAAAACACATTTTTCTAAAATTAGTTTTAGATTCTATTTTGAGTCATTCAGAAAGCTTAAAGAAATGGAGACGATTTCATCTCCTCGTGTGCCAGTATGACTGACAGATGAAGAGTGATGGCCCAACATATACGTGTACTACCCACAATACATTAAAAAAACCAGATTCTCTATCGCAAAAGGCCGAGATCTTATGCGTAGATGACTTATCGCTGACCTTCTGAAGTCTCTCTTTAGTCTAATAATTATTTATAAGAAGAATATAATTTTCTTTGTATGTCTCAACAATACTTTCAGGATTCCTGTGCATTTCAAAATTTCTGAATTTAGTTCTTTTATTTCATTAGCTAATGTATGTTTTTCAACTTGTTTAATTAAAAATATCCCGCTGCTTTAATATAGAATTATTATCTCAAGATAGCACAAAAATTAAATTAATATACTGTATTTTTTTTCATAACTTCTATTTTATTACAATTCTCACCATTGTTTGATCTAATTTTTTTTCCATCTTACATTATTTTATTTACAGAATTAACCTAGAAAAAGCAATAACAATTTAACTGGGATTTATATTAAAACATTATTATTTTAGGAATGAAATTCGTTCATATAATACTTATTTGCAATAAAGTTTGATATGTTGTATTGCGAAATATACATAAAGTAAGACTATATTAACAGACTATATAGTAATGTAAGTACTTTTTACATGTTATACGGTAACTAGTGTTTACGTCAACCTAAAAACTTAAGTTTATAATATCAATTAGAAAGTACCTATTGCATTTATAAAATTTTTTTTTCTGTCAAGCATAGTAAAACTAGTATGCACAGACAAATAAGATTCTTAATTTTACCTCGAGACATTATTAGTTAATGTAATAGGTAATAGTTTTATTAATTCTTTTAGAGTTCTTACCGAAAATTGGTCTCCATCAATATTAATTTTAAAACTAAATAGCAGATAAGCGAGAGCATTGCCTGGGCAAAAA